TTTACCTATACCAAAACTGCTGGTCTCTTCCACAGTGATCCAATCAGTCATGTTCCTTTTATAAAATGTTTCAATTTAGCTCACAAATAATTAAATATAATAAATTACATTATAATGTATTTATTTTCATTTTCAAAACATTCACTTCATTCAAAGAAAAAAGCCACTACTCAACTCTCATTCATCCAAACAATTAAAAAAACTAATTGATATTTGACAATTGACAAAATAAATAACAAATCAAAACACAAATAGGCTATGTTCCAATATCCTCCGGACTAGGAGGAGTAGATTGGAGCGAGAGAGATTCGTGTTCTTTTGATCTGAATAAAAAGCTGTCAGAGCCAATAGCCAATCAAATCTTTGTAAAACCCAATGTAAAACGACAATTGTTCGAACAAACCTCAAGAGATTCCGATCAGTTTGTGATCGCAAAATTTAGTTCCCTCTTCAAATCCAGAGAAAAGGAATGCTCTTGAACTGAGGATAAGATTGGAATAGATTTCGGTTATTCAAGACGGAGTTGGATTAGAATCAGAGCAGATGTGATTACGTGTTCTAGAGTGTTAAAGTATACCCGAACAACAATATTTGTGGCAATTTTCAAAAGAATTGAAAACGTTTTTAGGTTAAAAAATCAAAAAATAAATAAAATAAACGTAGTCTGTAGAACTAGAAACTACGCCCAATGTTGAAAAAAAAAAAGAATTTAATAATATTTTCGGTTTTACTGCTTCCAAAGCGCTCCCCGTCTGGGCTGTGACGTCACAGATGTCTGCGAGACTGCTCCGGGAACCATGTGAATCCGTTCGGATCGTTTTTTGATCAATCGGTTGCAGTTTTGAAGCAAGAGTCGAAAGCGCTATAAAAAAAAACGTTGTTAAAGTCTGTTTTTTTTTAAAAGATAAATCAATATGACATTATGTTAGCAACACAATGTAAAACTGTCAATGCTTTCAAATTTTTATCTAGAAAAGGCTGGTTTCTATATTTTTGACTTGGGGAATTATCTTTAAAAAAAAAAAGACTTTACTGGGGTTGCATTTAAAAATAGCACTCTAGGTGTTAGAGTCACCCTAGAGTAACTCTAAACCGTTTATAAATTAACAGGTGCTTACTCGGAGCGTTACGCTGAAATCGTTCACGAATCAAGTGTTGACGTGTCCAGAGTGCGCCCAAATTACTCTACTCAAGGGACTGGGTTGAAAAACGCTCCGCGGTTTTAACGGGTTTGACGTTGACAAACTGCAACGCCCCTAATACGTTCATAAATTGCGCACCTAGAGGGCATTCCAAAGACGCCTTTTTCTGTTGAACCGTGTTTTAAAACGTTTTAAAACTGGTTCGATTCTTACGTCATCATATCGGTGGTGATCAAAAATGTCCCGTTTCAAAACGGAACACGTGAGACATCTACTATAATTTGTTTTGTGTACTATAATACCAAGTTCATTGTATACCAATGGTATTTTGAGGTCAGCTGTTTAACGTCTATTTTGAAACAGGCTGAGAGAGCGGTTCGAAAACTTTAATCGTGATTCGTGATCCAGGACGCCCAAGCCCCTGATCTGGTGCTGCAGTAAGAGTGCCATATTTGTGATCCCTGAGCAATTACAGTGCATGTTTTTGAATCCTGTTGAAAACTGCCGTGCTACTTTTTGCTCTGAGTGCAATCAGTTTCGAAGTTACTACTGGGAGTTTTGGAATACCTTTTAAAGTTGAATGAGAACAGAGTCGCTTTCCAGTGACAAATTTTAAGGTGCTCCACACCCGTAGCTTCTCATTCTGGTGGTCCAAACAACTGTTGTTTCACTGGAACGCCCTCACTTTAACCACAGCTTTAACCGTCGTCCGTCACTGGGAAGCGATTCAGAGCAGTCACTGAGCCGCTTTCCAGTATGGGAGTGTAGCGCTCGGAGCAACACACAACACTTTTCGAAAGGAATAAGGGCGTAAAGCCCTGGATCTGTTCCGAAGCTCCTCCTAGATGTGAAAGAAATACAACTTTATATGTACGGACAAACATCACACGTCATGATACTAGAACGGTACAAATCTATTGCGTGGCGCTCCCGGGGTGCTCTAGAGCGCAGCAATAGTTGTATTCCTTTCAAGAGTTTGAAACACTTGAGCTACTCGCTTCGGTGTTCAGTCGCCCCCGATTTGCAGGGAACAGATGCGTGGTGCAACAAACACTTTTCGAAAGGAATAAGCGCGTGAAGCCCCGAAGCTGTTCCGGAGCTTCTCCTAGGTGTGAAAGGCATACAACTATTGTGCATCTGGAAAGCATCACTGCTCTGGGACGAGTTCAGAAATAACGAGTGCGATGTTATGGGTGTGACTGAAATGACAATTCTTAGGCGACAACTTTCGTATGAATTTCTGAACGCTTGGTGTGACCAATCGAGCATCTTCTGAGAAATTTCACCAAAGGACCCCGCAATATTTAAATGGAAATTGGTTACCCGTGATATTTGGATGAAATTTGAATATGTTGTTGGGGATGCCATAAGCAAAATTTTTTACCATGGGCACAACCCTGTATATATGACAGGTGAGGCGTGGTTAGCTGTCAAATATTGGAATCTTATATCCAAAAGCAGAGTCACTATGGCAGATTTTGATGAACTAAAAATTTATTTCTACTAAGTCGACCAAGTTAAGTCGAAAAATATCAACCATTTTGACACCTGTCAAAACCCTGCCAAATTGCAGCACTCATCTTTTCCATTTTTCAATATTTCATGATGTCATTTGACATTTTTAACTTGTATGTAAATTCTGAATTAAAAAATTGAAAAAAAAAGACAGAACTGTCAAAACCTGTCATTTGTTTTAGAAGAAAAAAATACTTTAATTTGATTCTTTTTTGTTTCAAGGTAGTTTATTGGTGATGAAATATTAAACAAAGTTTGGGTATGTCACATTTTGACAACTGTCAGAGTCAAAATGTGACATGCATGAACTTTGTTTAATGTTTTATCACTAATAAACAACCTTGAAACAAAAAAGAACTCGATTAGAGTATTTTTTTTCTACTAAAACAAATGACAGGTTTTGACAGTTCTGTCATTTTTTTTTCCAATTTTTGAATTCAGAATTCACATACAAGTTTAAAATGTCAAATGACATCATGAAATATTGAAAACGGGAAAAGATGAGTGCTGCTGTTTGGCAGGGTTTTGACAGGTGTTAAAATCGTTGACATTTTTCTTAACATGGTCGACTTAGTAGACATCGATACTTCGTTCATCAAAATCTGCCATAGTCCCTCTGCTTTTGGATATAAGTTTCCAATATTTGACAGCTAACCACGCCTCATCTGTCATATATACAGGGTTGTGCCCATGGTAAAAAATGGTGCTTACGGCATCCCCAACAACATATTTAAATTTCATCCGAATATCACGGGTAACCAATTTCCATTTAAATATTGCGGGGTCCTTTATTAAGATGACTTTTTTTGTTGTTCATTTTTTTAATTTGAAGAAAAAACTTTAATTCTTATTTGTGTTTTGTTTATATTTTGTGGGATTAATGAGAATGAGATTATGGGAGGAATGGTTGACATTGTTGACATAAAGACACAATCACACCGCAGCCACCAAAAAATTATGGTGTGACCGGTGCGACATCTGGAGCGCACTCGAAGTACTTTCTGAACGGAACAGGGTGCGCGCGCTCGGTGTGTCTATAGCATTTATGAACGGCTAGTGCGTCGCACCGGTGTCACACTCACACTAGTTGTATTCCTTCCAAGAGTTTGAAACACTTGAGCTTCTCGCTCCGGTGTTTAGTAGCCCCCGATGTGCAGGGAACAGATGCGTGGTGCAACAAACACTTTTCGAAAGGAATAAGCGCGTGAAGCCCCGGAGCTGTTCCGGAGCTCCTCCTAGGTGTGAAAGGAATACAACTACTGATAGCGTATTTCATTGGTAGAGCAAGTGCAACACTAGTTTTGCACTGACACTTTAAAAAAACTACTCTCGTGCAGTCCCAATGAAACATCATCGTACTGCACCATCACATATACGTCAAACCTCAAACATAGAATTTTATTAAAAAAATTATACTTGTGCTTATTATAAATAATTATAATAATTTAATTTAAAAAAAAGTTCTTGCCTCTCTGCTAAAAGCCCTAAAAATTCTTCATATTTACTGGTTTCACTGCTGCTGCTACTTTCCATCAAGGCAATTGCCTTCAACAAGCGATTTTTGACATTTTTAGTAGTAGATTCGCAGACAAATATAAAAAACACAATAAAAAAATACTATTTAGGACTGTACACGAGCTTTTTAGCAGGTGGCGCACTCCGCACTAGCAGCACTCGGTGCAAAAGTCGGTGCATTGCTCTCCCAATGAAATACAAAAGTGCAGCGCGACTTTGCCAATGGATCACGAATATTGCACCAGTGTTGCACTTGCTCTACCAATGAAATACGCTATGAGTGTGTCATTCCTGAACTCGCCCCTGTTGATTAACCGTGCGTTCGGTATTTTGATCCGAGTTCTCCGAGCTTAAATTTACCGTTCGTTCATTTAAAATGTGTACTCGGTGCAGGCTCATCTCTGCATTCGTTAAGTTTAATGAAATTTCAGGCACTCTGATACAGCGTTCAATTGCTCTGTTTGCTCGCTGGTTACATGATTACGGCTCCGCTCAGCATGCTCTGCTCTTTGAACAAACCTTGCGTTCGGTATTTTGCTCAAAGTGTAGAGCGAGCTGAGCGGAGCCGTAATCACGTGACCAGCGAGCGAAGGGAGCAGTTGAACGCTGTATAAAAGTACCGGAAATTTTAATAAACGAACGCGAATGAGGCTGCACCGAGTACACTTTTTAAATAAACGAACGGTAAAGTCAAGCTCGGAGAACTCAGACCAAAATAACGAACGCACGGAAAATACCGAACGCAAGGTATGAAAATAGACAATTGACACTTGATTTATTCCGACTCTTCTTTTGTTTCCTTACTTTTGACTCTACCTCTACCTGGGCCGAGATTCTAAAATCACGATTCGACACACGATTCGACAACGATACCGGCCTTGTCGCGTCGAAAGGTATAATTCCAATGAGATTTCTAACCTAGAATCGTCGGAAAATCGTCTCGTTGTCGAGTCGTATGTCGAATCGTGATTTTAGAATCCCCGGCCTGTTTACTTGTTTTTGTTTAGTCAACAATACAATAACAATAGTTTTGCTTTGCATTTTTGAACAGATATAAATAAGGAATATTCATTTTTGAGAGATAAATACATTGCAGAGTACTTGTTTATTGAAATGCCTGGTCAAATTTGTGCTGTCGCTTCCTGTAGTAGCAACAGGATCAATCTGAAAAAAGAAGGTATTCAGCTAATATTTCATTCATTTCCTAAGGTAACTGATGATGAAGGTAGAAAAGAATGGGTAAAACGTTGCAATCGAGATAAATTGAACCCCAATACATCTACTATATGTTCCTTACATTTCCAACCAAGTGATTATGAAAGAGACCTACAGAGTGAACTTCTAGGTAATAATTCTCATTTGAATTCAACATAAGTTCATTATAAAATTATGTTTCAGGTTTACCTTCACGCAAGGTTTTAAAAAAAACTGCAGTTCCCACTTTATACCTGGATTTTGCTGAAAACTCATACTTTACCAGAAAAAAAAGAAAAATTGCGAGAAAGAAAAAAGAGCCTCCTATAGCGGAATTTGTACTTGAAAATCCAAGCAATCAAGATGAACATTTTTACATAGTGACAAAATCAGCCGATTTAACAGATACATCAACCACCACAGATACCAAACAAAATTTCAAAAAAATAAATGTAGACAGTTCAAATATTATAAATCCATTAAAAAAATAAATAAAAACTGGCGCAAAAATTAATGAACTTTTGATTTCTGTCGTTAAAACCTCAGATTAGTTAAAACCTCAGGTTAAAACAGTATCTTGATATAGTGATTTCTTGAGAAAAGTTGAATTTTTAGCTATATCTACACTGGCTAAAGAAACCTTTACATAGTGGCGACAATAGAGGTCCCACCGCCATTTTGTTCCCAACCTCTTGTTACTTTTAAATAATAACATATAGGATTGGATTTAAATGAACATCTATCATAAAAAATTGAAATTGCCGTATTTGATAACTATTATTAGGTCCATCGATCAAATACGTTGTTTTCCATGATTTATGATGGATGTTCACCTAAATCCCATAATGAATATATTCATATTTAAAAGTAACAAGAGGTTGGGAACAAGATGGCGGCGTTTTCAATATAAATATATGGGATTTTACAATCAATCAAAAATAAGACAGCAATTGTCGCCACTGTGGGTGATAGAGTCACTGTAGCTATATCTACAGTGACTCTATTACCCACAGTGCTGTCTTATTTTTGATTGGCTGTAAAATCTCATATATTTATATTGAAAACGCCGCCATCTTGTTCCCACCTATTGCCTATTTCAAATATGAATATATAGGATTTAGGTGAACATCCATCATAAAACATGGAAAACAACGTATTTGATGAACCTCATAATAGTCGTCAAATACGGCGATTTCAATTTTTTATGATGGATGTCCATTTAAATCCTAAAGAATTAATATTTAAAAGTAACAAGAGGTTGGGAACAAGATGGCGGCGGGACCTGTATTGTCGCCACTGTATGTAAAGGTTTATTTAGCCACTGTAATATCATCGTAATTGCGCCCCCTAGCGGTCATCCTAGAAACTTGAAAATAATTTCCATCAATTTCTCTTGGCCGATTTAGTGAATTTAAAAAAAAAAAAACCCGAAGCCGTAAGGTCTATGGTTTCCATTTATCGTACCCTGGCCGGCCTTAGTGGGACACCTTGGGGCTGCGTTCAAAAACTGCTAAAGCCAAGCCAAAATTGGCATATTGCGTTCAAGTTCGGCTCCAGCGTGCCAAAAACTAGAGGTAGCGATATTATCGATATTTCAAGAAAATACGGTCGAAAACATCGATAGTGGCCCCATCGATAGTCGATGCATTTTTCCACTCTCACTTCACTCCGAGCATGTAGTGTCTTAGGAATTTTATGTATCTTACGAATCTTATCCCATGTAAAATGCCTAAACATGTCATGTCAACATGTTATTATTTTTAAATCAAAATTCACATCACATGGTCTTTTGAACTTGAGGTTGAGGTATTAAATTTAATTCTCACTTGCGCGAAATTGGATGTTTACACTATCGAAACTATCGATAGTGAATTTCGACCACTATCGCTACCTCTACCAAAAACGGTTGGCTTCACACTTTCAGAATCGGCCGCGGTAAAGTAACTTTTGGAGGTGCTTTTAACTGAGTCTAGAAATGGTTATACGAGTTTTGATTGGATGAGACCAAATTCAATATGGCGTGGTGCCAACAAGTTAGTTTTGAATATGTGTTTTCATGCATATTTTAATTATTTTGCTTCGAGTTTTGCACTTTGATTATTCAATAAAATATATGTAGGTACGTAAACTATTGAGTTGGGCAGAAACTAGATATTTTTTGTGTTTTTTCGTCCATGTGTGGAAGCCACGCCATCTTGAATGTCACGTGGTTTGGATTGCCTTATTGAGAAACGGTATTTGGCGTTCCAGCAAATTCACACCAGATTTGGCATTGCCGGTAGAAGGGGAAAAGTAAGTTTTGGCATTAGCATTGCCGTCTTTGAACGCACTCCTGTGGTATACCTAGAAATTTCAGGTATTCTACTTTTCCGCACTGAGTGCAGAAAAAAGCCGGAAAGCACTTGTGCGGAAAAGTGGTACTTTCATGACCTAAAATGTAGAAAATAGTTATTTACCTAACAAGTGCGGAAAGTGGTACTTTTCCGCACGAGACGGCAGTTGCACGAACGACGTGGAGCGGAGTTCGGGCAAGCCGTCGAAGGTGGAAAAGACATTTTCCGCAAGAGTTAGGTACAATATTTTTCCTACGAGTGTTTTTGTCCATCTTATTTATCAAAAAAAATGTTTCCAATACGCAAAGATGGGAAAGATGGCCAAAAAAATTGTAAGGATCCCCCACCCTCGCGGGGCTATGCCACCTAAATTAGGGGGCTCTGCGGGGCTCCGCCCCCAAAATAAGAGGGCTCCCAGCCCCAATAAGGCCCCCTCCGCTTCCCAAATAAGTGGGCTCAAGCGGGGCTCCGCCCCCAGATAAGGGGCTTTCGCGGGGCCCCGTGGGACTGCGTCCCCCAAATAGGGGGCCACCGCGGGGCTTTGCCCCTCAAATAGGGGTCCCCCGAACTTTAATATGGATAAAGTAAAAATCGTGTGGAAAAGTAAAAAAATCGTGCGGAAAAGTACAACTTTCAAAACGAAAAATCGTGTTCGTATAGGGTGACCATACGTACAGCATTTCGCTTTATTGTACAGCATTTTGAAAGTCTGTCCAGCATTTGATTTTGTACAGCAAACGTACAGCGAAAGTCTATGCTAACGCCGCACCTCTACATTTGCGATTTACGTCATTTACGCGATCATCCAGAGTATCAAGCCTAGTACTCATAACAGCAAAATTCGCTCTTTTTTGAAATTACTTCGACAATTTGACGTTTTATGCGTGAATCAAACGTCAAATTGTCGAAGCAATGTCAAAAAAGAGCGAATTTCGCGGTGTTGAGTACTACGCTTCACTCTTTTTAATGTTCACTACCTTTTTTATCCCTTTCTATTCTACACCGCTGAAAACTCTAGAAAACAGACAAAGCATTAGCGGTTCAGGATACATTCACAAACATGTGGCTAAACGCTTTCCACCTTCTACTCTCAAAGTTCTACTCCGATTTTGTTTGGTCTGGCAGGTGGCCACATTGCCTGTCATTGATCGTGATTCCAGCCCTGGGCTGAGACACGGACTCAGGTATCACGACAAGTAGAATTGTACTAAAATTCTACTTTCGTGACGTCAAATTGTCTAGTAGCCGTCATGATGGCCTGTACTGTACGCAATAAATGGGTCGCGGGTGACGTCATGAAAGTAGTATTCTACTTGTCGTGATCCCAGCCCTACTTTCATGACGTCACCCACAACCTATTTATCGCGTACACTACAGGTGATGATGAGGGTTGCTATGCAACCTGACGTCATGAAAGTAAAATTCTAGTAGAATTCTACTTGTCGTGATCCCAGCCCAGGTTGCACTTTGTGACTTTGGCGTTAGTTTCGGTACTGTGTCTTTTTTTTTTCTTTCTCCACTCACCTTTCCCAAAATTTTAAATGTGTACAGCATTCATACAAAAAAAATATGGTCACCCTATGCTCGTAGGAAAAACTTGAATAGGAAAACTGGATAGAGTGGTACCTTGTTTGAGAGGTATTTGAGATGACTTTACAGATCTGTAATTTATTTCGAAATCTGACTACTAGTTTTCAAGATATTCGCCTCGGAAGTTGACAAGAGCTTGGTGGTTGCCCCGAAACAATTTATATGCGACGTTGCAATTTTTGGCATTTTCATGTTTGGACTGGAATCAGCGCCACGCCACGCCCAGTGTTGCCAGAGGTGGTACAATTGTACCAAATTTGGTACCATTCGCTTTGTAAAAGTACGCTGGTACGACGTTGGCATATTTGGTACAATTTTCAATTTTTTTTTTCCAAATTCTCAAAGAGTCTTAGCCTACTGCCTACAGTCTAATGTCGATGTTCTAATTAATTTGTATTTCTGTATCTAAATTCGATATAACAATAATTTCTGATTCGTGCTTTCTCCACTCACCTTTCCCAACATTTTAGATGTGTACAGCATTCGTACAAAAAAAGTAGTGATGAGCGATATATCACGAACTGTGATTTATTCACTGATATCTAAAAATCACGGATCACGACCGCTACCAAAGTTCCATAAAAAGCGTGACGTGATCACGACAACGTAGCAAACTATTTAATTTCTTGTCTATTAGAGTATCTAACCTTATCCACATAAACCAGCGCTGTGTGGGCGGGCCTTTAGTTCCGGCTAAGGAGGCCCTTACCAGTTTAACGGTACTTTTGTTATCAATTTTTTAAATATTTAAGTGGGTATTACTTTATCAAATATTTGGTTTGTTTGGTTTTCATCGTACTTTGATAATTTTGCGTTTTAAATGGCATCCTACTTTATCTCACCCATTTGGGGTTTTTGCAAACGTGTACTACTTTATTGTTGTCTCTGTCTTACTCACTTATAATTAACGATTAAACATTTTTTCTTTAAAATTAAACTAGAAACAAGTTTCCAAAACCTTATTTGGGAAATTTATTGTTTTATAATCGTTATTATTTAATTATTCAACAGGTTTTAATTAAATTAAACCATTTAAAATGTCATTAATGTCATGCGGCAACGTCGCTTTTAATCGGCCATTTTGCAGTGACGTGTTTACGTTTTTATCCAGTTTTTCCTTGGATTTTCCAGGGCGTTCTAAGTCGGAAAAATTGGTTCAAAATACGAGGCTTTGAGTTTTTTTCATTTTGTGCAAAAAATTTCCAATTTTCCAATAGGGTAAGTGACAAAAACTCAAGTCTCATCAAGTAGGTGCTGGAATGTTCTTTTTAGAGATTTTTCTTCGGATTTTCCGCTTTTCCAAAGCTTCTTCAATTAGGAAAACCGATTTTAAATATCAGGCTTTAAGTTTTTTCCATTTTGTACCAAAAATTGACAGTTTTCCAATGGGGTAAGTGACTAAAACTTAAGTTTTATCAAGTAGGCTCTGGAATGTCCTTTTCAGAGGTTTTTCTTTGAATTTTCCGCTTTTCCAGGGCTTTTTCGGTCGGGAAAAAATTTTTAAGTACGAGGCTTTGAGTTTTCTTCATTTTCTAGCACAAATTTATATTTTTAAATGCAATAATTAGGATAATCCCATTTAAATGCTTTTTCTGGAAGTTTTGATGTGGCAACATCGTTTGTAGCCAACTTTAATCATGTAAATCTTGTAATAAATGTCATTTGTCAATTTGGAAAGTCGACCATTTTGAATGTTTTTATCCATGTTTTTCCTCGAAATTTCCGCTTTTCCAGGCCGTTTTAAAACGGGAAAAATGGTTCAAAGTACGAGGCTTTGACTTTCCTTCATTTTGTGCCAAAAATTTTCAGTTTTCCAATAGGGTAAGTAACAAAAACTCAAATTTCATCAAGTAGGCTTTAGAATGTCCTTTTCAAAGGACTTTCTTTGGATTTTCTGCTTTTCCAGGGCTTTTTGGATCGGGAAAACCGATTTTAAGTACGATGCTTTGACTTTTCTTCATTTTGTGCCAAAAATTTCTAGTTTTCTAATGGGGTAAGTGACAAAAACTCAAGTTTCATCAAGTGGAATGTCCTTTTCAGAGGTTTTTTTTTGGATTTTCCGCTTTTCCTTCATTTTCAGCCAAAAATTTTCAGTTTTAAATTAAAATTAAGAACGCAAAAAAAAAATTAGTAAAAAACAACTTTTTAGGGAATTTATATATATATATATTTTTTCAGGTGGCAACACTGTTTTGTAGCCAACTTTACTCGGGTTCCAATCCAGTAGGTCTTGGAATGTTATATCTAAAGTGACATTTGAGAAAAAAGTATGGTCACCCCCACCCTATTATAGGCTGGTACATTTTTACTGAATTTGGTACAATTTGTCTTTAATTTTGATACAAAAAATTTTTGCTCTCTGGCAACACTGGCCACGCCACCCCAGTTGTTTATTATAATTATTATCCTGGCCTTTTGAGTTTTGAGTGGACAGAGAATATAATAACCTTTTATAATTTGATAATTGAATAAAATTGAAACTACAAATTTTGTACTTTGAAGCACTGCCTTCTGATTGGAGTGGAACTGGAAACTCGTTTGTTTTCCTACAGGGCGGAAAATTTTTCATATCAATTTCGGAAAAAAAATAGTTATTTTTCTAACAAGTGCAGGAAATATCATTTCTTGCAAGTGTGAAGCCTAGTACTCATAACAGCGAAATTAGCTCTTTTTTGACATTCCTTCGATAATTTATTGACGTTTTATGCGTAAATCAAACGTTAAATTGTCGAAGCAATGTCAAAAAAGAGTGAATTTCGCAGTTATGAGTACCTACTAGGCTTAGGGCGGGTATTATAAAACTGCTTCGACAGTTAACTTGAAGTTAACTTCTGGAATTACATGTAATTCAAAAAGTTAACTTCAAGCTAACTGTCAAAGCAGTTTTATAATACCCGCCCTAAAAGGAACCCAATTTTTCCCAAGGGTGTGCGGAAAGATTACTCTTTGTGCATGCCAAAAGTTTTTTTCCGTACATTCGTAGGAAAAAAACGGATCATCTTAGTTTTAGGTGTCCAGAAAATGGCAGAGATTATCCTGTTTTTAATCCCTAGTGGGACTGCTTATTGAGCTAAAAGTGTCTGCCAACTGGTATGTCAGTCGCAGACCTCCACCCTTGGAGTAAAATGCATTATTCGAGTTTAAAGCACACAAAAAAATTAATTCCTAAACGTTAAATTCTTGTTAAAATCACCTTTTCTACATTTAAAATCGACGAAAAAATCAAATAACGACCACAGCCTGAATTGCAAGCCTTCCATTGAGGTCTGCGGATGACGTCATCGCTATTAGCAGCTGTGGCGACGTCACGCGTAGACTCTGCCTACTCAAGAATTGATGTACGTACGCCTTATTATGATGAGTAATCCTGTTCACGGTTGTTGTATAAAAATGATCAAAATTCCAACAAAATCCTAATCTTTCATTGCACAAACAAACTAGCATTTGCAAAGAAATTTTACTCTGACCATTGAAAAATTAGGAAAATCTAACCCAAACAAAATAATATACTTTGACGTCAATTTGGCAACGCAGCACTCCTTGCCTTAACCTTTAGAATTGTTTTGGGGCTCTCACCAAGGTCTTGTTCGGGGTTTAAAGAGAACGTGTTTTTCGTACATTTCTACAAAAAAAAATTGAAATTCCTGAAACACGTCAATTTTGTTTATTTTGCACCTTTGTTTCTTTGTTAGTTTGAACCTTTTTGAACAACCTTTCAAACATGACTCACTTTTCATTTTTTCACGAAAAACACACATTCTCCTGTTGCCCCATGACAACTTCCGAGGCGAATATCTTGAAAACTAGAAGTCAGATTTCGAAAAAAATTACAGATCTGTAAAGTCATCTCAAATACCTCTCAAACAAGGTACCACTCGATCCAGTTTTCCTATTCAAGTTTTGAGGGTGCAACTCACCCCGGTAAGGGAGTGCAATCTAGGAAAATTTTGAAAGTGTCCTCCTTGCAAACAAAATCGACGTGTTTCGGCGTTTTTCTAATTTCCTGATAATTTTCGAGAAAATCCAGGTGGTTTACTTGTTAAGTCGTACGCACCAAATGGCGCACCCAGAGTGCACTCCAAGTGATGAAGTCAGAACACTCGTGACAAACTTTTTTTTTTACTCTACCTTCACACTCCATTTTTAAACAGTCCGTGCGTTCGTTATTTTGGTCTGAGTTCTCCGAGCATGACTTTACCGTTCGTTTATTTAAAAAGTGTACTCGGTGCAGCCTCATTCGCGTTCGTTTATTAAAATTTCTGGCACTTTTATATAGCGTTCAACTGCTCTGTTCCCTCGCTGGTCACGTGATTACGGCTCCACTCAGCACGCTCTGCTCTTCGAGCAAAATACCGAACGCAAGGAGTAAACACACTCCAGTGTTTGGGACGATTTGTATTACACCAATTATCGAACGTAGCTCAGCCCCGATAAATAAAATGTCAAAATTGTCAAACAATAACTCACAAAACGTTCCGAAATTTATGTATTAGATTCCTAAAATAAAAAGATTTATAAATAATGTCCGCAAATTGTTTAATATTTCTCATAAATAAACTATTTCTGGCTAAAAATCTAGTTTTTATTGTCATATTTATTTACGAATTTTTGACGTTTCTCCCCACTCAACCACGTATTTGGACCAATCGGGAGCGTTTTCACGCATTAAATCCGACTCAACAGACATCATGGCTGTCAGTATAAATTTGTCCGTTCCAAGATGAACTTTCCCTCTGTGAAAATCGCTAAAAAAAGGGTGCTTTTGTGCATTTTTCTATTAAGAAGGGCGATGCTCAACAGAAAACGTTACAGGATGTTCAGGGGAATAAACTGAGGATCATAAATTTACACTTGGTAAGTCGCTGGAAGCATAAATAATACTATTTTTTTGGCTAAATAAATTATTGTTAAGGTTTTTGTGGGACACAAAAACATCTGTCCCTCATTACATACAAGTTTATTATGAAATATTGATTTAAACAATTTATCCATAATATAGGTGCCTAATATATTTGCAGGCAAGTAGGCCTATATAGAATATTCCTAATAGAAATATTCGAGCATGTTTTTATCTGTCCACAATAAAATAACAAATAATATTGATGATTTTATTTGGTAAATTAATGAAAATGGTTTACCTACATGTTTTCAATTGCGTTGTACCATGTGGATGACAATTATTACTTAGGTATTTATATATTATTAATAATTTCAACTCTCCTATTTTTTATATTCTTTAAAATTAAACCAAACCACATTTGGATATAAGAGCTTTTTCAACTGGGCATACAGGGTGTCCCACCGAGAACCAAATTGATCTATATTATGAAAAACTGATTTTTTTTTGAAAATTTGTCAGTATACTAATGGGCAACCTGGCTAAAATATTTTCAAGATTTATTTATATATTAATTCTCTTCGCAATCAATTTCTAGTAATTACATGCAAAGGAAATTACAACTACCTACATGGTTATTTAATTCACAAGAAAAAAAAACAACAGTACAAATACTTGACTAGGAAATACTAACAGTAGAAAACTAGCAATACACACGAATAAAAGGAAGCTATATGTCCTCATGCAACAAATCCAGTATTTCTTTACGGTTCGTGTTAAAAAAATCGAAAAATTAATTTTTTCTTAACATCTCATTAAAATAGGCTAGGATATTATCAATAGGCAATGTACCTACTATTAACTGTAACACTTGAAATTTCTCTGGTTAAAATTCTTAGTCTAATCTTTGGTACCTTGAAATTCACAAGCTCAATTAGATCACATTTCTTGTATTTGTTGATAGAGTTCACCTGAGACTGAGAGTCCACCCTTTCATCTACTTACTTGATCATTGAATTTATATTGATACATAAGATTTAGAGAAGGTTACGGTTTTACATTTTATTGGAAATAAGGATTAGGTCATTCAGGTGACACCACAGAGCAAAACAATTCAGGTCCAGTTGTAACTGCTTACAGTCTGATATGAACTTAATAGGCCTATACAACTTTAAACTGTCTGCATATAACAATATGTCACTGTAATGGATAAAATATTCAACATCATTAATGTAGCAGGTAAATAGTAAAGGAGAAAGATGTCTTCCTTGAGGAACACCTGATACAACAGTTATTGGAAATCAAATAAAAAATTTAACTTTGTTTTACTGTATGTACAGGGTGCTGCAATTTGGAGTGTTTTAACAGGAAAAACACACTTCCCGACCAGATAGAGGAAAATTGACTTAGATGTCATGGAATCGATTTTCGGGAAACGTCGATTGTCAAAAACCGTATCGCGATATCAAAATCAAAAAATCAAAATCAAATCATTTATTGGTGCATTACTTCACAAAGTTTACACAAGTCAAATATATAGTAGTGGCAATTTTCAGGAACCTTTACGAACAATATTACTAACTAACAATCCTCTAAATCATTAAAATTATTGGTGGTATATTCCTCTATACTAAAAAAAGCTTTCTTAATTAAATAATTTTTAATTTTATTTTTGAAACAATTCAAATTTAGCATTCTAATGGAGGTTGGTAACACATTATAGAATTTGGGGCCATAGAAGGAAATTCCCGTTTTTATTTTATGAATTCTATGAAAGTTTGTATAGAGGTTGTCCCTATTCCTGGTGAGATGTTGGTGTATGTCCTCATGGGTTTGGTAATCATTGACATTACACCTAACATGAATCAGACAATGATAGACATATAAGGAAGGCACTGTTAATACCTTTGATTTCACAAAGTCATTCCTACACTCCGCTCGATAAGTTCTATGACACAATATTCGAATCGCCCTCCTCTGAAGTGCAAAGACTCTTTGCGCTTCTGCTGCATGTCCCCAGACCAGAATTCCATATGATATTTTTGACTGGACACAAGCAAAAAAGATGGCCCGTGCTGCTTGCTCGAAAACACTCTCCATCATTGTTCTGAGTGCATAGACTCCTGACGCCACTTTGGCACATATGTTATTGACATGTGGAATCCATGTCAACTTTGCGTCAATACTCACCCCCCAGGAACGTAACTGGCTCATTATGTAGCAATTCAAATTCCCTCGTGGATATTACTAGGGTGCTATTTTTTGATTCATTCATACTCAATTTATTCGCTGAGAACCAATCAGTAACCCTCAACTGTGTCTCCTCTAGACTGAGTCTAGTGTTTCAAAATTCCTGGCCCTTCTAATCAGAGTCGTATCATCAGCAAACAATATCAGGTCAGAACTGGGATCACACCCCTCCAAATCATTTATGTAGATCAGGAAGAGCAGTGGTCCCAGCACTGACCCTTGAGGAACACCATATTCTAGTTTGATAGAGGATGAGCTTTTATCCGCTACACTTACTACTTGCGACCTTCCTGTAAGATACGACTCTAATAAGCCTATACTTTCAGGTGCAAATCTGTATTGTAGCAATTTTATCAGAAGGAGATCAGAGGAGACACAGTCGAAGGTTTTGCTTAAATCACAGAACAGAGCCCCACTATATTCCCCATTTTCAATCCCCTCATTAACCCTTTCTATGAACAAATTGATAGCACTAGTAGTAGACTTCCCACTCCTGAAGCCAAACTGCTTAGAACTAAATAAATTCTGACTCTCAAAATAATTTGTTATTCTATTTTTGAGTGCCTTTTCGAAAATCTTGGAGAAAACTGGGACAATTGATATAGGACAGTAATTACTCAAATCTTTCATTTCACCTTTTTTATATATTGGCACAACCCTGGAGATTTTTAGAACTGATGGAAAGACTGCATCTCTTATACACAAATTTAACAGCTTCGTAAGAGGATAGATAATAATATTAACAAGTGATTTTATTATTTTAGATTTCATTCCATAAATATCCTTGCTTTTTTTGTTTTTTAATTGTTTTACTATGTCTCTAACTTCATTAATTGATATGGGAGTGAAATTGAAAACTGTGTCGGATATACCAATTTTTTTGATAAAATTGTTTACATAATATTGTGGAGTATTTATAGCTGTAGGTAAGTTACTAACAATTTGGGCTGCTATATTAGCAAAATAAAGATTATAATCATTTGGAGAGAAATTGTTGCTATTTTGAATGCATTTTTGTTTTGTGATATTAGAGTTTTCTCTCACCAACTCCCATATCGTTTTCGAATTGAAATTATGCTTTTGTAGATAGGAAAAATGAGCCCTTTTTTTGGCTTCTCGTATGGAAATTTGGTAATTTCTTTTTAGAGACTGTTTTAATTGTACCATAATAGGACAATTCCTCTGTTTGGCTGCTTCTGAAACAATTTGCAATAGTTCTCTCTGTTCGCGCAGACTATCATTATACCATTTAATGTATTTTTTATTATGAGTGATTTCAATTTCCGGAAAAGCTAATTCAATATTATTTTTGAGAAGGTTGACAAAAAGAGAGAATTTGTCATCAGTTGACATTATTTCCTTTTTTTTCAAAATCCCAATCCATGGAATCAACTAACCCATACAGATTGAAAATGCCCTGCTCTGTGATTGGTCGGCTTTTATGAACCTGTTCTGTATCTTTTAATGAATGCTTTAAAGTTATTTCTGCACAAAGAGCGAGGTGGTCTGATATGTTCAAATCCCTTGTATATGCCCTAGAGACTATAAAATTAACAAAAACATTGTCTATGCATGAACCTCCGCGCGTTGGTGTAGAGATAACCTTATGTATTTATTAGATCCAAAAGAGAAACTGCTTTACTATCATGCGACAGAAAGTTAACATTGAAGTCTCCATTTATTAGAATATCATATCTTGTTGATCTTATTTTTTGCACAATTTGTTCGAAAATATTTAAAAAAAATTCAAAATTTCCAGATGGAGGTCTGTAGTATGTTATTACAATAAGTTTTAGTTTATTTGATTGGACTGCACATACCTCACAATGCATTTCCTGCGATAGACTATTTATGTCATCTCTGCCTTTGAAAGTGTGTGCTAAGGATTGTTTAATAGCAATCCCTACCCCTCCATGAGAATGCTCTTTTCGACAGTAATAGGAAACAACATTATAATTTATAATTTTCATGACTATTGCTTCATGATCAAGTAACCAGTGTTCGCTAAAACAAAAAATATCTGCGTTTAAATCTGAAGATTCCAAATTTACTAACTTATTCCTTATACATTGAACATTTAGGTGTACAATAACTAAGGATTCCAAAACTGAAATATTATTAGGAATATCGATTTCATTTAGACCTAGGCTAAAAAATCACCAGCACAAGAGTCTAGAAAACCCTTATGTTTCCTGAAATCAAACCTCTTGACTCCCACTGTACATACTGTCCTTCTGCTGCAGAGGTCCTGTGACAACAAAACATTTCAGCTTATTTTCCTCTGTTGGTAATTCCCTTGCTGTGATTGGTAGACGTTCAAAACCTGGTTTGTTTTTAATGAATTGTATGATATCATTCTCACCACATTCTCTTGGAACTCTATATATATAGAGCCATACCTTCCAGCAAAATTTCCCTCTGCGGGTGGCTGAGCCTTTCCAAGCCTTTTTTTGAAACGCCGTTGCCTTCTAGGATAGATGAAACCATCCTGTTCTGTTTTATCGCTGACGTCAGAAACAGCTGATGAAGCGTCGCCTTTCGATTTCGATTCATTTTGAGTGCTTGGAGTTGGTATGTTTAAGTGTAGGTTCCGGCCTTCAGATTGTTTTCTGACAGTGTTGGAGTAACTATTTTTATCCTTTTCAGGTTGTTCCGGCCCAGCCTTTTGATTAAAAGCTGTATTTTGATTTGCTGCGCCACTGGCTTCCGCGTTTTGGCTTGGTTGGTTCGACCTTTGAATTTGTAGCTGTGGTTGCATTGTTGATATTGGCACTCCATGTTTTTCGGCCAAAGGTTGTTTACAATTTTGGTGTTTATTTACGTTAAAGTCAGACTGCATTCTTTGAATTTTTTCTACCAGTAAACCATTGTTATCTTTTAGAATATGATTGCTTTCCTTTAATATGCTATTTTTATCCTCTAGTTCAGTTATTAAGCGATTTTTAAAGCTAATTTCATTTTTTAAAAAATCAAGTTGATGCTTTAATTGTAACATCTCTGGGTTTACAGTTGTTGATAATATTGGTGTTCTATCTTCGCATTCCACACACACACAGGCATTTTTTAATTCTAATTCTAGCCTCTTTATTTTGTTATTTGTTTGATTTGCACAACTTATGTGGAAAACTGCTAGGCAAACTTTACACACTAGAGTATTTGCCCTTTTTCCACAGCATTTGAACACTTCACCACTATTTATTTCACTATTTAACTCACTATTTTCTGCGTTTTTACTCACAGCATTAGGATCGTCACCTTCACTTGGCGCCATCTTGTCTTGTCTCGATGTACCGATGATAGTCAACTTTATTGAGTTCATAATATATCTGTCTGATAGAACCCAGGCAGTGAGGGTTAGTGGAGTGGAATCGGCCATGAGTGACATAACTGTTGGGGACCCAAAAGATTTTATTTTGGGTCCCATTCTTTTTCCAATATACAGGGTGTTCATTTTGAAACTTACCACCCCTATTAAAGTCCGACAAATACCATTTTAAAGTCACGTGATATTGGTGGCAAAAAACGTATGTTCGTTAATTATGTCGTTGATATCACCTACAAAAAGCTACTTGTGGTTAAATACTATTGAATTTTAAGATATGTTCCCACTAGCATTTTACAAACGCGTTTCTGAAGTGGTATTGACCATTCAGATGAGAATTTTAATACTTGCAATTGTTGCGAGACTCACTTTTGTCGCTTCTGCTGCCCCTTGTAATACATTCTGAACTTGAATTGGGTACCCGTTTCCTATTTGCATCTTTTTGAGTTGGAAAAAGGTTAATATAGTCAAAATTATTAGCTGTGTTTGTTCGTTGTATCATTTTCTAAAATAACTTTGACAAACTAATTGATGACAGTGACGGATTCTATTTCAGGTAAAAATTTCATGAACAATAAAATTAGACAGCAATTTTTTTGTCAATTTTACTATCACCGCTGTTTGTGATGTATTCAACAAGGATAGAGAAAAATCACGTGACTTTAAAACGGTATGTGTTGGACTATATCATGGAGTTGAAAAATTTTTGAGAAAATTCCTGAAACACTTTAACTAAACTGCTGGACACTCAAACTTTCACATATAAAGATTTTTAGAGTAAATTCAAAATTCCATATTTTCGACACGAATAAAGTTTTTTTAACGCGGTTTGTGGATTTAAATAGCTTTTTGCTTGACGTAAATTTCTCATAGGACCATAGGGTTACGACATACGGGGCGATAAAATTCAGTTTTGCTTTAAAATCTGTATGTGTAAGTTCAAGTGTCCAGCAATTTATAATTTGAGGGGGGATGAGTTTTTCATGCAAAATTCACCTCCTGCTTCCAACCCTCAGCCCCTAGAGCCACCCCCTAGAAAATTTCAATTGGGAAGGGGATACCTGATACCTACATAATTTTGAAGGATTTTCAATTTCATACGTTTTGGTACTAAATTTTATTCCCTAAGTTCAACTGTTTTGGAAATATTGAATGATATAATTGTTGGACTCCCAAAAGGGTCTATTTGGGTCGTATTTTTTTCCCAATATACAGGGTGTTCATTTTAAAACTTACCACACCACCCCTATTATCTCGGAGTTGAAATATTTTCGAGAAAATTCCAGAAACGTCAAATATTATTTGAGGGGGGAAGAGTTTTTATGCAAAATTCACTTCCTCTCTTCCAAGCTCCCAGCAGCCCCCAGAGCCACCCCCTAGAAAATCTCAAATGGGAAAGGGGGTCAAGTGATACATCATTTTGAAGGGTTTTCAATTCCATACATTTTGGTCCTAAATTTTACATTCCCATCCTAGATTTTTATAAATTATCATTTGACGTCAACTTTGAATTTTATTCTTAACTTAAAAAAACCTAGAACATTAAATATTTTAAAGAATTGAAGCTCATGCTTCAAAAGCAAAGATTTAACACTGGGAAGCTGTTTTTGACAATCTCAAAGCTTCTGAGAATTCTAGGACACAACAGTAAAGTTAATTGAATTTTTATCACAAAGGTGAATTCAACTCTAACCTGTGTCTTGTCACTTAATTAATGTCAATTATTTCTTGATTAAATTTATCCTATTTTTTTTTAGGATAGATGCCCAAATTTAGAAATTCTCAAAAGGACCGGGAAGGAAATAAATAATTACAATGACGTCTAGTAGGTAAGTATCAGCCCATAAAGGAAACAGGATGTTATAATAATTATCTTTGCAATAAAAACTTAACAATAGTATATTATGATATAAGTGTATGAGAGGGCATTTAAAGTACGCGCGACATATTTCAGAATACGACGCGCAGCGGAGTGCTTTGTAAGTCGCAAGGGCTTTAAATGCCTCTTATACACGCATATCATACGCTATTTTTTATTACGAATGCATGATAATCTTGAAAATGTACACAAAGGTAGATCAAACGTTTCTATAGAAAACCTTTGACACACGTAACATCATAAACATCATTTTATGCACGTTGATTATGATACATGCGTAATAAAAAAACTATTTTTTCTAGGTTAGACCGATTATTTGTCCTGCTCGAATCGGGCAGTTCTTCAGTGACCAGATCAGCTGCGGCCAAGCAGCTGGGCGAAGTGCAGCGTCTCCATCCGCACGAACTGAACACTTTATTGTCACGCACGGCTGCCTATCTCAGATCGAGCAGCTGGGACACTCGAATCGCAGCTGGCGAAGCTGTCCGAGCCATTGTCAGCAACGTGCCTCAGTGGAACCCCAGAGGCTTGCCGGACGACGAACAGGGCAGCCCTACGACCCCGATTATATCATCTGTGGGCCGTTTGAGATTTGATCAGTTTGATATGGCGAAGGTTCTGGCCAATAGTTCACATCTGATGGCATCAGAAGGTAATAATGACAATCATTGTGGAACATCAGTGACATGTTTTCAAACTAAATTGAAGTTAGCAACTGAAAAAAATCAATGCAAGATATAAAAGAAATCTCAATCACACAAACTAAATATGTAGTTAGAAAGTTGTTCCTCCCAGGCACATCCTTGAAGCTTCCTTTAAGTTTCTATAATATTTGATTAGCTTAAAATAAAACAAGATGCCTATTTTTTTGAAATTTGTTCGCTTTATTTTGTGTAAGCATTGTTTCAATTTTTTCACAACAGGTAAAGAGTTTGATAATGAAGAGGATGCAGTTTCCAATCTGGACGCCAAAGAACGTATGGCCAAGCAGCGCCAGTTGCTGAACAGCAAGCTGGGACTGGATGTTGCTATTAAAATCGGCTTGGACACTTCGGCTTTGTTTTCCAATGAAGACTTGTTGATTTCAACAAATAAAACCGAATCTAGTGGTTTGATAAAGGTAAGAATTCGATTGACGATTTGGAATGTTTCGAATTTCGAAGCGGCATTTTGTTGAACAAGAAATTACGCAACTTTGCGTTCATTTAACCGACCTTGTATCTCTTATCTTACCGTTTTCGAGATCCCAATGGTAAATATTGAATATGATATAACTTAGAAATGAAAAGTTTCCGGACCCATATTCATAGGTACTTTTTTCTTATTTTGATGAGTTACATATATCCACCCTTAAAGTCTATAACACCGTTTCTGAAACACCTTGTGTATGTATAAAGATAAACAATTTTACAATTTGAGTTGAGGATTATGCACATTCTTTTCGTGTGTTCAGTGTATTGTTTTCTATGAGAGGTTAGTACCATTGAACAAAACAGCTGATCCCGTGAAAAAATTCATAAATTTATACATGTATAAATACAAGAAACTCTCATTGTGTATGAATACATTTAGGTATTAATAAACGAAAAACTACCCAAATGTAAAACCCGTTCCAGATGTGTAAACTTCCAATTTCAGATACCCGTAAGTGATGTGATAATATGCAGTGGAAACGACGGCGGTCTGAGCTGTCGCGAAATGAACCGAGCCAGAAGGAAGGCGCGGCAGGCGGTCAACAAGCAACAACTGCAAAAGACGCTTTCAGAAGACAATAATGGCGGCGACGAGCCGGAAAGAAAGAAAATCAAGATCGAAATCAAAGAAGAAACTTATCACCAGGCAGATCCGGATGCCGCTAGTGGCGGCGATTGGCCTCTGGAGTGGTTCTGCGATCAGCTGGGGCAGGATTTGTTCAATTCCAGTTGGGAGAGAAGGCACGGAGCTGCTACCGCTCTGAGAGAGGTTCTGTCTGTGCATGGTCGTGGGGCGGGGAGGGCTACATATTTACCTAGAAAACAGGTGAGATTTTAATATCTACAGTGTGTTTCAAAAGTCTGGGAACGGTCAAATATTTCCATAGCGGCTTGGAATAGAATTACGAAATTTTCTGCATATAGGTAATTAATGATGCCCCGATTCAATGATCATATCGGCAATGTTGCTAGATTTACCGGTTTTTAGATAATGTGGGTAATTTCGTTTTTTTAAATAGGAATACCACTTTATTTTATTGCAATAAGTTCGGCGCTCTATTGTTATTGAAACGTCTTCATATCATGTCCCTATCTTACACGGTTGCTGAAATATGGCAACACAGACTTTTTATACAAAAATCTGGGAACGGTCAAATATTTCCAGAGTGGCTTGAAATAGAATTACGAAATTTTCTGCATATGGGTAATTAATGATGCCCGATTCAATGAATACATCGACAATGTTGTCAAGTTTACCGGTTTTCAGATAATGTAGGTAACTTCGGTTTTTTAAATAGGAATACCACTTTATTTCCATTGCAATAAATTCGGCGCTTTATTGTTATTAAAACGTCTTCCTATTTTACACGGTTTCTGAAATATAACACAGCGTTTTTGTTCAAAAGTCTGGGAACGGTCAAAAAATATTTCCAGAGCGGCTTGAAATAGAATTACGAAATTTTCTGAATATGGGTAATTAATAATGCCCGATTCAATGATGACATCGAGGATGTTGCCAAGTTTAAAGGTTTTCAGATAGTGTAGGTAACTTTCGTTTTTTTTTTTATAGAAATAGCACCTTTTTTTCTAATGCAATTTTGGTACTCTATTGTAAGTGAAACCTCCTGATATCAAATCCCCATTTTAAGTAGTTTTTGAAATGTGGCAACACAGACTTTTTGTTCAAAAGTTAGAGAACGGTGGAGTATTTTGACAAAGGTAAAATTTGATGAAGAGACGTTATTGTGATGCTCAATTGAATGATGGCATCAACAAATATCAAAATATCGATACGCTGGGATTCACTCAGTTCGAAATTCATTTTGACAAAACTTTGAAGGAACTTGACACATCTGATAATTACCTCTACCACTGGACAATAAGCAAATGAATATCTAAATTTCCAGTTATTTAGCGTAGGTGTATTCTTTCATGTTATTGTTTCGACAAATTGTCAAACAATACAGGGAGTATAAGGTAGATCAGGTATGAGTACAAAAATTTTAACATGAGATAATATTACCTATTTTAAGCTAAGACTGTCCTATTAGGGCTACTAATCATGATTCAATTAGTATTTTCGGAATTATCGCAAAATTTAAATTTAAAAAAATGTTAACAACGTGACAACATTGTAGAGATCATCTCTACCAGGATATTAGGTAAATAAAACTGGTAAATTCTATTTTTTTGCAAGCATTTCATTTATTTCAACCTGTTTACGTTTTGGTTTGTTATTCGCTTTCAAATAATGTAAATTATAATTTGCATTTTTATCATTTTTCTAGTAAAAATAAAAAATGTGCCGTTTTAAAAAAATTACACACTTACACTCCCCATATCACGCAATCTTTGTAAAACGGGCCCAATATTATTTCAGGTGGGTGCCCTTCTATTGGGAAATCTTTCCCTGTAAATTCTGGTGGCTAAATGAGCATTTTGCAACGATTCTGCCTTAACAAGTATCTGCATATTCGACGTTTGTGAAGTGAACATTTTATTTTCAACTACCTATTCTTTTTTGTGCTATGTTGCCAAATGTTTAGATACCGAATTACGAGTGAAGGTGTCATGTTTTTTCAATTTTTTATTATTGTTGTTGACTAAAAATGCATTATTACTTAATAATTGAATGAATTATTTTTTTTTTTGTGATCTCATAATGATTAAAATTTTCTTTATTTTTCAAATATTTGTCAATAATTGTCATAACTTCAAAGATATTTTTCTTGAAAATGATTTTGTTTGGTTTAGACGTCATGTTGTAAAAACTTTCTTTCTTCAAAATGGGCCATATTTTCAAGTGTTAAAACTTTTGTAGTCAAACCTGATACACCCTGTATAAAATATAAATTTCAGAGTTGGCAAATATCATGATATTTATATAAATATCCAATTATCCGATATATATCGATATATATCGGATATAATATATCAAAATTTGGATATTTATTTATATTTTTAATTATTTGAATTATTTCATCTGTTTTCTGTTATATATATTATTAAAACTCGAAATAACTTTATGGTGAATTTAATAAAATGTTACAAACATGTAAAGTTGGTTTGGCGATAACAAGTTTTAGTGCTCCTATTTCCTATACATATGTATAGGAATGTAAAGTGTAGTAGGTAAATAAAAATCCGAGTTTAAGAATATGGAAACATATATGTTATTTATATCAGGTATTTATATGTTTGTATTAAACCGTGGTCCAACAACAACAAAAAAAATGACAACTCTCAACAACAAAAAGAAATCTACAACTTAGGGCGGGTTTTATAAAACTATTTTGACAGAATAATTAGAAGTTAACTTTTAGTTATTTGTCAAAATAGTTTCATAATACCCGCCCTAAAGCCCCAATATTTCTTATACACAAATAAAAATAAATAAAATCCCTGTGATTTCCTTTGTATAAATAAAATAATAGGTTTGTTCCAACCTGCAATAATATTACTGTAATATTATCGTCCGTAACCGCGCTAATGCGACTGCGCAATCAAAAACAGTAATATTATACTGAATAACTTAAAAACTTGTTGGAACGTTTTTTGAACTAGTAGTACTCACAACACAAGATGAAAATAACAAAATCCACATAACTTGCACACTTGCAGGTGAATCATCTTCCACCACAATAAGGAATTCTTCTAAACCTAATAATATAAGACAAAAATTAGATTTATTAACTCTGAGAACAAATAAAATAAAATTACTTAACTTCTATAGCAGTAATTTTCAAATAAATAATTTAAATAAACAAAAAACTAAGGTTCTGGGTTATGTATTATTATTTATGTTTGTTGTTGTTCAACCACTGACCCAATTTCGACCTCACTACGCATGCGTCTAATTTTAGAACCAACAGTTCTTCCTTTCAAGCAAGAATCGTTTGAACCGTAATTTTACTATCCGTAACTCCGGTTGGAACGACGAACTGTCAATTTATCGCCAATTCTAAATTAGTAATTTTAACTGGTTGGAACAGCATTTCACAATTGCGCATGTGTGCCAGTAATATTACTGGAAATTACTGCCGGTTGGAACAAACCTAATAAAACTTTAAAATAGGAAAAAAATTCCATACAAATATTATTGATATACAGGGTGTCCCAAAAAGATACCGACAAACTTTGAGGGGTAATTAGGGACATCAAAACAAGCATTTTTGTTGTCTGTAGAGCAAAAAAACTGTTTGGTACTTTTATTCTTCGCAATAATTAAATCATTGTTTAGTTATTAATTTTGCTCTATTAACCAATAAAATATGGTTTACAGTAATTGTTCAAAATTGAACAATCATCAATCAACAATCATTGACTCGCGAACCCTTTGAAATATTCCGGGAATAGCTTCTACATGGGTACAACTCGCCAGTATCCTTGCTAACAGATCTTTCTCATTACGAACACGTGTTTCGTAGACTAAACTTTTCAGTTAATGACCTGACGGTGCAATCTTTGCATTGAAGTTGAGCGTTCACAGACTTTTGAACAAAAAGGCTGTGTTGCAATATTTCAGAAACCATGTGAGATAGGGACATGATATCAAGAGGTTTCAATAACAATAGAGCGCCGAATTTATTGCAATGAAAATAAAGTGCGATTCCTATTTAAAAAAACGAAGTTACCTACATTATCTGAAAACCGATGAACTTGGCAACATTGTCGATATCAGCATTGAATCGGGCATCACTAATTATTACTGATATGCAGAAAATTTCGTAGTTCTATTTCAAGCCACTCTGGAAATATTTGAGCGTTCACAGACTTTTGAACAAAAAGGCTGTGTTGCAATATTTCAGAAACCATGTAAAATAGGAACATGATATCAAGACGTTCCAGTAACAATAGAGTGCCGAATTTATTGCAATGGAAATAAAGTGGTATACCTATTAAAAAATAACGAAGTTATCTACATTATCTGAAAACCGGTGAATTTGGCAACATTGTCGATATCATCATTGAATTGGGCATCATTAATTACCCACATGCAGAAAATTTCGTAATTCTATTTCAAGCCGCTCTGGAAATATTTGACCGTTCCCAGACTTTTGAAACACACTGTATATTATATTCTGGATAGATAGAGCGTGTGAAAAATAATTTACTCCACTTACCTACATTATATTATAAAAAGCTAATTTAACACCCTTAGATTTTTGCACATACAGATTGCTTGTAATCTAGGTAGCTCAAATTGTAATGTGATATTTATCTAACTTATTGTAAACCTATTGTTATTTCTCTGAATAAATTTATTATTATTATTATTTATAATAACATCAACATTTTAGACAAATAATATTAATTTTTTTTACTACTAACCTGAGAAATTGTCATTATTCAATCTCACTCATTATAAACCTCGGCGCGAGCGCCTCGGTTTATAAAAGCGCTCGGTATATAAGGACCAACTTCTCTACCTAGGTATATAATATACTATTATTCTCTATGTTGAAAAATTGCATATTACATTTATTAGCTACCTGACTAGTACAAGGGAAAATAAAATTTGCTTCAATTTAGATGGAACTCTATCATCAAATATGGCTCGAAGACATGTCCATAAGACTGTTATGCGTCCTGGCTTTGGACAGGTTCGGCGATTTCGTATCTGACGCAGTCGTAGCCCCGGTGAGAGAAACATGCGCGCAAGCGGTCTGCGCCCTCATCAAACTCATGACTTCGGAAAATTGCCTGAAAGTCATGAACACCCTCATACAGCTTCTGAGCCATCAAGACTGGGAGGCCAGACATGGAGGTTTGCTGGGTTTGAAGTATTTGTTGGCCGTCAGAGCCGACTTGATTGATGAATTGTTACCCAAAGCGTTTCCTTACATTTTGCAAGGGTTAGCAGATGTTGTTGATGACGTCAGCGCTGTTGCTGCCTCAGCTCTGATACCGATTGCTCCAAAATTGACTGAACTGGTTCTTGGATCTCTACCTCAGGTAATAACTATCGTTTTGATTATTTCTAGGAAATTATTTACTACATTCAAAACAACGAATCAATCACATAAGGTTTAAAATTGTTAGTAAATAATTTTTTTCCAGGTAATAAATAAGCTGTGGGACTTGCTTTCGGAACAAGACGAGCTCGCTGCCGCTTGCAACAGTTTCATGGGCCTGCTAGCTGCCATTTTGAATTTACCTCAGGCGTCAGAGCTTTTGCTCTTGCCCAACCATCCCCCTCTCAATGAAGTGGTACCGCGATTGTGGCCGTTTTTATCGCACGGTACCTCTTCTGTGCGTAAAGCCACTCTGGCCACTTTACGCACGCTGACTGAACGACGACCCGCAGATGGCGCTGAGATTTTGTGGGACGCTCAACTGTTGCAGGACGCGATGCGTCACATCTTTCAGCGCGTGTTGGTGGAACCTTTAGCGGAAGTAAGTTGAATGTGTTTATTAATATGGTAAATATGCTGAGTCTTTCACTTTTTTACTAATGTAATTGTCATCATCTCGCCATATCTTTTAAAACATCTTAAATTCATGTGAAATAAAAATTGGTCGAGTATCGCTCACCATCGCCAAGAGGAATGGTATGAAGTATTCCTTATATAACTAAGATTGAATTAATATAGTTCAAGGTGGCTAAAAATGTTGCACTCAAAATAACCACATATTTTCTATATTTCAGGTCCGCGAAGTGGCCGAACAAGTATGGCAAAATTTAATTAAAAACTCCGGCCTGGTGGAATTACTGCACGCTGCCTGTCCATTCATAACCATCTGGATCTTTCTCGCAATGCAACCTGCCAAACAGCCTTTCGACGCCAACTTTTTCATCCAAGCCAAAAGTCACAAGACCGACGCCAGCCCCCATCACCACCAAAAATATTATCTGGGCGGTACAGAAACTACTCCTTTGCGCACTCGCGAAGTAAACGCTGTCAAAGTGCGTTGCCAAACGGCCAGAATGCTCGGCTTACTGTCCAGTTACATTGTTCGTCCAGCTCCTGGACTGGATTATAGTAACGGATTGGAGAAACCGATAGATTGCTACGAGAAAGTGCTGCTGGTGCATTTGAATACCAAGTCGGCCTTGCAGCGGCTTGTTACTGGTCTAGTTATCGCCGAATGGGCCGAGTTGAATACGAGCGTAGTTTGTCCTGAAGGTTTGAAGGTGAGTTATATGGCAATTGTACTTTTACATACCTCTATTTATATTGTCTTTTAGATGACTTAATATAACATTTATCCAAAAATATTTGAGCTAAATTGAATTATTTTTGTATTTTCCAGGTACGTTTACACCAGTGCCAAGAAGAGTTGCTATATTTCGACGAAATCGCTCACAGTTTTACGCGTCTGGCGCAAGAAACGAGAGATTTTCTAGCTACGCTCCGTCACTATAAAGTGCCTATTGTAGACGTCAACGAAGATCAGGCCCTCACTTTGCCTCTAATTGAGCAACTGACTGGAGCCGCAACGGAAACAATTTTGGTCAATTTTAAGTTGAAGTCGAAAATTTTGGATGGTTTGCAGGAACGCAGACGAGCTATACAGAGTGCAGTTGTTGTTACTGGTAATTTATCTACTTCTTAATTGCTTTTTGTCTTGATCACTTTTTACTAATCGAATTTATAAATAATTGAATATTCTCCATAACAGCTAACGAACAAAGATCGCTGACTATCAGTACCAAAGCAGCCTTGTCCGGAGCGATGGTGATGTTCAAAGCTTTACCAGATAAACTCAACCCTGTGATCAAGCCACTGATGGATTCAATCAAGTACGAACCTGAAGAGAATTTTCAGCAAATCACTGCCCGGCATTTAGCGATTCTATTGGACCAGTGTCGCCAAAGGCCGCCGCCCTGTCCCAACGACAAAATCCTGACCAACTTGTGCGCGTTTTTGCGTTGCGATCCGGAGTTTACGCCTCAAATTTATCTTGATGTAGACCATGGAAACCATGAAGAGACAGCCTGGACAAAAGATAATTACAATGGTATTGTGACGTTGATAAATCAACAGCGGATGGCAGAAAGGAGCATTTTTAGACGATCAAATAGCACTGGTAGAGGCCCTGGTAAGTTTAATTATTCCTATAGCGAATTCATAAAGTTTTATTCATCTTATGGTAGCTATCTGCAAGATGTAGTTCAATTATCGGGGTAACTTTAGTTTTCAATTACCAGGTCTGCGTGTGTCTCACGTAGCATAATATATTTTTATAGTTTATATACATATACTGGGATAAGTTGAATTTGAATTATTTTAACAGGTAGACCCCCAACCAACGAAGTAAACGCCGAGGACGTCCTCAAAGACGACGAACCACAAAAGTTGAACCGAATTCAACGCAGGGGCGCCACCTACGCCTTGACCTCAATCACTCGACATTTCGGTGCCGAGCTGCCTCAAAAAATCCCAAAATTATGGGACTTAATTGTCGGTCAGCTGACACGCACAGTGGATCCGAATAATTTTTCACCAGTTCACGACCACCAAATGGCGCAGCAGCTGGTTTGGGACTTGCAAGTACTGGAAGTGACTGCTTCGAGTGTGCACCAGGATTTGCTTGTCGAATTAATGGATCGCGTCACTCTGGAGAGGCTGTGTGTTTTGCTGGCACATCCGTATCGTGCTGTTCGACATCTGAGCGCTCGTTGTTTGGCCGTATTTGCAAAGCTGGATTCTGTCAAGGTGATGGAGCTGGTAGTTGAGAAGGTATAATTATTTTCATAATAAATTGCTTTATTGGATTTCTAATAAAAAATGATATTAAGTCAATTTCTATAGAGAATATTGAAAAACGCAAAAAAACTAAATGGGAAATGTGTATAAAATATAAAGGAAAAATCTCAAAAAATTAGATAAGCAAGACTAGTTATTGTATGGTATTAAAAAGGGCATGACAAAAAAGCATCATTTTTACAGATCCTTCCAAAACTGGGAGCAACCGACTGTGATACTGACCGTCAGGGAGCAGTCGAAGCTATAGCCTGCATAGTGGACACCCTTCAGTTCAACATAATTCCATTCGTGGTGCTACTAGTTGTACCCCTTCTGGGCCGAATGTCCGATCAGAACGTCTCCGTACGACTTATGGGAACTCACAGTTTCGCCACACTAGTGCAACTTATGCCCCTAGATGGCGGGGTGCCTGAACCTCCCGCTTTGAAGGACAGCGTCTTGAACAACGAGCGCAATAGAGAAAGAGAATTTTTGCAGCAACTGTTGTCCCCCTCTTCTATAAGTGACTATGTGGTGCCAGTTCCAATCAGAGCCGAGTTGCGCAGTTATCAGCAGGCCGGTGTTAATTGGCTGGCGTTTTTGAACAAGTACAAACTGCACGGGATTCTATGTGACGACATGGGCCTGGGAAAGACGTTGCAAAGTATATGCATATTGGCTGGTGATCATTTTGATCGAGAGCAAAAGTACAAAAGGACGAAATCGGCTGATTGTTCTCCTTTGCCTTCGCTGGTTGTTTGTCCGCCGACTTTGACCGGCCACTGGGTGTACGAAGTGCAAAAGTTTGTTAACCAAAAGTACCTAAGGCCGTTGCAATACAATGGTAAGGACCTTTTAATACTTCAACAATAACGTAAAATAATATTAAAGGCAATTTTCTGGCCTTTCCATAAAACAACCATCAAACTTAATCAAAATAAATTTTTCAGGTAATCCTGTGGAACGTGAAAAATTGCGCACCAAATTCAAAAAATACCAATTAATTGTCGCCTCCTATGACATAGTGCGCAAAGACAATCAATTTTTTTCTGGAATCAAATGGAACTACGTCATTCTCGACGAGGGCCACGTGATTAAAAACGGTAAAACTAGAACCAGTTTGGCCATCAAAACGCTGACGGCCAATCACCGACTGATACTTAGCGGCACCCCGATACAAAATAACGTTCTCGAATTATGGAGTCTGTTCGACTTTCTAATGCCTGGCTTTTTGGGAACTGAAAGACAGTTTACTGCTCGCTACGCCCGACCGATTCTGGCTAGCAGAGATGCCAAATGTTCGGCGAAAGATCAGGAGGCAGGCGTTCTGGCCATGGAATCTCTGCACCGGCAAGTTTTACCGTTTTTGTTGCGCAGAATGAAGGAGGACGTGTTGGACGACTTGCCACCCAAGATTACTCAAGACTATTATTGTGAGCTGAGTCCGTTGCAGGAAAAACTTTATGAGGACTTTTCTAAATCGCAAGCGCATCAAACTTTACAGGTAAGCACTGATCTATTTTATTTCATACTATAGATTAAGTTATCAATTTCAGACATTCAGGCTTATGATGTATCCTCCCCTGTTATTTTAACAGCTATGTTATAGCTCAATATCTATACCTCTCTCTATTTTGACATATACAATGAACAGTGACAGACAACTTAACGTTGCTGTTAAAATAACAGAATATGATACATCATAGGCCTGATTATGTCACTATTATTATTATCATTATTAGTAATTGGGTTACAATAGGAAGAAATTCAAAAATTGATAAGTATTGCCTCCACCTTTTAATAAGGAATGAAAAACCTGCAACTAATAATTTGTTCATCAAACCAAAGGACATTTTTGTGGGATTATGCTTTTTTATTGATGTCCGCAGATGGATACTTCAATGATACTGGATAAACTCAGTTTTTTGAAATTATTTGATTAGTTCATTCACCTTTTATAGCCAAGCAGGCAAGTACTTTCTGCTGGAAATTATTCCGGAGTTAGTGATATTTCAGTATGTCATTTATTAATTGTCTATGGTGTAACTAAAATCTGAGACCTCAAGGACCTTGTACTAGCTTGGGGGGAGTCGAACAACCACGAAATTTTCGGACTTTTTTAGTTTTTGTATTATTTAACGCAAAAGTAACAGGAATACAGTGGTTTAGAGATACAGAAAAATTCTCAATTTTTCAAAAATTTCTTCCGGCCGACCACAATTCAAACCAAGCATGGGATAAACAACACGATATATGTTTACTGTGCACCTGAATTATTTTCCGGGTTAACTGCAAATAAAACCTCGAAATTTTTGGACTTTTTCCAAATTTCCTTTTAATTTCACTTGCCAAAAGTATTCGATCTGACAGTTACTGGTTCAAAAATTCAATTAATTTCTCATATTATCAAAAATAACTACTGCTTTGGTGCTTTGGTAACTTATGCCAACAGGATACCAATCAAAAACCACTATAGCATTGCTCCAGAATGTCTTTGAACATATTCCACGTAATTCTAGCACACCAATTCAAATGTATCTCTAGTAAGTGAATGAAATATTTATTATTTTTTAATAGGATTCCATCAGTACTGGAGCCACGGCCAGTTCGATACAAGGCAACACGCACATATTCCAAGCGCTGCGCTACCTTCAAAACGTCTGCAACCATCCGAAACTGGTGCTGAATCCGTCCCATCCCCAATATCAGCAAATCCACACCCAGCTGCAGCAGACAAATTCGAAACTGGACGATATTGCGCACTCGGCCAAGTTGCCCGCCCTCAAGCAATTGCTTACCGACTGTGGAATCGGGCTGGCGATAGAAAACGGCGTCGAGATAGCGATCAATCAGCATCGGGCGCTCATTTTCTGTCAGCTAAAAGCCATGCTGGATATTATCGAGAATGATTTGTTGAAAAAACACATGCCGAATGTGACTTATTTAAGACTGGACGGGTCTGTGCCACCCGTAATGCGACATTCTGTGGTTACCAGGTAAGATAATTCAGCGTTTTTAGTTTTTCTCGCATTTGTTATTTTCCTAAAATATATAATTCTTTTGAGACGTGCAAAAGTGGCCACCATTTATGTATTTTTTGTAGGTTTAACAATGATCCCTCCATAGACGTTCTCCTTCTGACCACCCAAGTGGGCGGGCTCGGTTTGAATCTGACTGGAGCGGACACTGTGATTTTCGTGGAACATGACTGGAATCCCATGAAAGATTTGCAAGCCATGGATCGAGCCCATCGTATTGGGCAGCGCAAAGTCGTCAACGTTTACCGGCTTATTACTCGGTCTACTTTGGAAGAGAAAATTATGGGGTAAGAATCTAAACCATATGGAACCTTGGCTTTGTCAACAAGTACTATGTATTATTTGGAATATGCCTTATGGAAAAAAAAATTGTTCAATTATAGCCTTTAACTGGATTTTAGGTGACACCAGGGATGTAGCAGCAGGTCGTGCAAATCGTGCCGCGCACAAGGGCCCGGGCCCCAAAGGGGCCCGGCGTATCCGGCTGCTTTTTGGACACAACATACAAGAAAATGAAAAAAATCATTTTACGCCCGCCTAAGCATTATGCGCTTTGGCAATTTTAAACCGGAACAGAAAACTGTAATATCGATTTCTACAGATTTTTTTTCAGTCAGTCCTCCGACTCCTAGTACTCGTGTGAATATTGTCAATTGTCAATCTCAATCGTGTATTAGCTCTCAAAAATGTCTATTTTACAGACCCATTTCAGTCCGTAAAATACGTCATTTTCGGCCTAGTCCCTGAAAGTCGTTATAGTAATCAGAAAAAAAATATTTTGTCATACACTCCCAAAAACAGCTATTTTACGGACTGATTCAAGTCCGTAAAATGCTTCTTTTCAGGATTTTTTTTTCTATCTGGATACACCTTTATGATTTCAAAAATTAAGGAAATTTTGCAAATTTTAGCATTCTGAAAAATTCTAAAAGCGTTTGACAAAAAATAGTGTTTGTCACATGTACCTAACGAAGTTTTTCAGGACTCGTCTACTATTCCGGACTCTGCTCACGCCTCGTCCGGAAACAGCAATGATTCGTCCTGGAAAACTTCATTTTAGGTACTTGTGACAAAAATAACTATATCTGGGCGCTCTTGCCAAAATAATGCCAATGCGTAATCAGTTTTAAATTTTTAATGTCACATTTACTTCACATTTTTGTCAATGGAATTCAATCAATTTATGGAGTTTTTTAGACTCATTAAAAATAGTATATTGCGTAAGGAGTCCGGAAAGTACTGTTTTTTGGACAAGTAGTAGGTAAGATTCCAGTCTACGAGTCCGAAAAAACACTTTCCGGGAGTATTACGTATATACTTTTCAGACTAGGCCGGAAAGTAATCAATTCTTGGCCTAAGTAATCACATCCCGACCTAGGCTTGAAAAGGCATACTTACTCAAGTAAAACGCGGGAAGTATGTACTTGCAAAACTGTTGCCGAAAAACCTCATCAAAAATTTCTCACCTACGAATTTGCCATTCGCCATTTTGCCCATAACCCTTCCACGCTCCAACCGTCAATGAACTTGAAAATTTGAACCATGGTGAAGGGGGCCCGCTGTGCTCTAGTCTTGCACCAGGGTCCGGTTTTGACTTGCTACGTCCCTGGGTAATACCACAGATGGTAACACATTTATGTTATAAGGCAAACAATTGAAAAACTTTATGCCCTAGTATCTACAAAAAAAAAAAAAACCATTTCCAAATCCAAGCGGCAGTAAATGACAAACTGGTCATTTTCATTACAACCTATCAAATGTCCTCCGTGCATGCGCACCAGTCCAGGTAGGGCGTTTTAACCAATAGGAAGGCTGGTGTTTGTTTACAATTAAGGTTATTAAATGTCATTTGCTGCCGCTTGGATTTGAAAATGGTGTAGAGCCAGTCCCAAACCTCTTCAGTCGTTAATATCCTGCAGGCGTATACTGTATCGTCATAAAGGGAAGAAATTTCTTTCCATAAGTATAGATAGGAAATTTCTTTCAATTTCTTGAACTTATTCTGTACCATTTTTTCTATGCCCGGTCGGGTATGCTCGGCTATACAGGGTGTATCAGGTATGAGTACAAATATTTTAACATGAGATAATATGGTCCATTTCAAGCTAAAAGTGTCCTATTGACCATGGGTCAATCGTTAGTATTTTCGGAGTTATCGCAGAATTTAAATTTAGAAAAATGTCAACAACGTGACAACATTGTACAGGGATATAAATGTAAATAAAACTGTTTACGTTTTGGTTCGTTATTGGCTTTCAAATAATGTAAATAACAACTTGCATTTTTATCAATTTTCTAGTAAAAATAAAAAATGTGCCATTTTATTAAGTTGTGAATTGCATTGAATGACATTTTTGCACTAAACATTCAAGAGAAAAATCAAATAATACTTACTCAGCTACTTGTCAAATCCTTACTATGAAAATATTAATTTTTTTTTAAAAGGTTCTCAAAACACTAAAATCAACTCGCAGATTTTGCACACTCACAACTCACACTTCTTGTATCACGCAATCTTTGTAAAACGGGCACAATGTTCTTCCATCAGGTGAGTGCTTTTCTTTTGGAAAATTTTTCCCTAATTTCACTGTGAATTCTGGTGGCTGAATGAGCATTTTGCAACGATTCTGTCTAAACAAGTATCTGCATATTCGATGTTTCTAAACATTTTATTTTCAAAAAAGAATCAATTTGAATTACGCGCGTTTCCCAACTAGAAAAGACAAATCAAGAATCAATTTATTCAGCTCTACCAAGGTTCAACCTTTAACCACCTTTTCTTTATTGTGCTGTATTGCCAGATGTTTAGATACCCTTTTACAAGTGAAATTTGTATGTTTTTTTTCCAATTTTTTGTTATTGTTGTTGACTAAAAATGCATAATTACTTAATAATTGGATAAACTAAATTTGTCTACATCTCATAATGATTAAAATTTTGTTTAACTTTAAAATATTTGTCAAAAAATGTTAAAACTTCGAAGGCCTTTTTCTTCAAAATGGTTGAGTTTGGACCCCATGTTGTATAAACTTTTCTTGTTCAAAATGGGCCATATTTTCATGTGTTAAAATTTTTGTAGTCAAACCTGATACACCCTGTAGAGAAATGTGTATTATTTGACGTAAAAACATTGACCTGTAATCAGGGAATTTGGGATACTTTTTTGATTAGGTTGGTAACAAAGGCAATATTTGTTTACATTTATATGTTAGGAGCTTCGCGAATTATTAAGTGACAGTTTGTATCTTTCATTGTGAATTGTGACATTTTCGATTTTCGCTACGTTTAAGTGGTAAGTCTGTGTGATTAGTATAAACCATATAGGTACCTAATATCTGATCCCATAGTTTTCGTTTCTTAGTGGGGGCTTGTTATAAAGTATACTTTTTCGCGACATTATCCGAAAGCTGTGATAGTATACAGTCAAACTATCCACAGGCGGAAATTGTCTTTTTAGGCGATTTCAACGTCCACAATATACCCTGGCTGAAACACCACAACAAAACAGATAACGAAGGCAGAGAAGCAGAAGCTTTTGCCATAAGTTGTGGTCTAACGCAGCTTGTCGATGAACCTACCCGTATCTCAGAAAGGGGCGAATTTGCAGCGCTTTTAGACTTGTTCCTAACCACCAATCCTGACTCGTACACAATTCAAGTAGATGCTCCACTTGGTTCGTCCGATCATAAACTTATAATAACAAAGTGCGAAATGCTCATCCCGCCAAGCCAAAAACCACTTCCTCGTAAAATGTGGCACTATAAATCGGCAAAATGGAATGACCTAAAACAGTATTACCTGGATTTTCCATGGCAAGAGGTTTGCTTTAAAACAGCTGATCCCACTATTTGCTGTAATGAAATAACACAAGTAATCTTATCTGGAATGGACGCATATATCCCACATACAACTAAACGTAGAGCTAATGCAAAACCTTGGTTCAACAGCCAGTGTCAAGCGGCTGTACAGAAAAAACACAGAGCATATAACCTTTGGAAACGACAACAAACCGCTCAAAACCACACAGAATTTATAGAAGCCAGAAATAGTTGCAAAATTACTATTGACTCCGCTAAAGAAACATACAATCAAAGAATAAAAAACAGGTTGCTGAATTGTCCAAGTAGTTCTAGGTCCTTTTGGTCTCTTGCAAAAGCTGTTGGATCTAACTTCACCAAGTCATCCATACCACCACTTACAGATAAAAATAATCACTTAACTACAACATCAGAGGAAAAAGCTAATATGCTTGCCCAAATGTTTTCCTCCAACTCCAACCTAACAGTGCCAAACGGAAAAACTCCACCGTTCATTGAAAGGGTTTCCCATAGTATGCCAGAGGTACCCTTTTGTCACAGAGAAATACGAAAATCCCTTAAAAAGCTAGATACAAACAAAGCAATGGGTCCGGATGGCATTCCCGCAATAGTACTCAAAAATTGCGCCAACGAACTCACCCCAACTTTCGCAAAATTATTCAATTTGTCTTACAGGCAAGGAGTATATCCATCATCATGGAAGTCTGCCGCAGTACAACCCATTCCAAAGAAAGGAAAAAAGACAGATCCGTTAAACTATAGACCAATTGCTCTACTTCCGGTGATATCAAAAGTAATGGAAACAGTTGTGAACAATCACCTAACCAAGTACTTGGAAAAGTACAAAATTATCAACGATAAGCAATACGGATTCCGAAAATATAGGTCAACTGGCGATTTACTTACATACGTCACTCACTTATGGCAAAAAGCGATTGAGTTGCGGGGTGAAACAAGAACAATTGCCTTAGATATATCTAAAGCATTCGACAAAGTTTGGCATGAAAATCTGCTCAACAAGCTCAAAGCAATGGGATTATCGCCGAAACTTTGCACTTGGTTTGAAAGTTACCTAAAGGACAGATCTATTTATGTTGCACTGGATGGCCAGAACTCCAACTCTTACCAAATAAATGCTGGTGTGCCACAGGGAGCAATCCTTTCGCCAACTCTTTTCCTGATTTACATAAATGACCTCATAGATAAAACAGTAAATCCACTTTATTGCTTTGCAGACGATGGCAATGTAGTCTCCTCACTCATACCACCCATAGGTCTTTCCGCACGTGAATTCCATCATCTTAGACTAACTCAAATATCGCAGATAAATAACGACCTGGAGATAATAGAGGACTGGGGTAACAAAAACCTTGTACAGTTCAACGCGCAGAAAACCCAAGCAGCTCTGTTTTCAAAAAAGACCAGCACCGGTGAGCCAAACATCATGCTATCTGGAAGTGCTGTCACAT